ATGTAAAATGCTGCAACCACTGTGGAAAACTATTTAGCAGTTTCTTATGTTACTGAACATGCAACTTTCACACAACCCATTAACTACACTCTTGGACATTTATTCCACAGACTTGAAAACGAACATTCATACAAAACCCCATACACAAATGTTTATAAAAGCTTTATTTGTAATAATCCCAAACTGGAAACAACCCAGATGTCCTTCAGTGGGTGAACAGATAAACTGAGGCACCAGCCATAATATGGGATTCTAATCACCAGTAACAAGGAAATGAATTAATAATACATACAACAACTTGGATGAATTTCCAGAGAATTGTGCTGGTGAACAAGTCAGCCCTGAAAAGTTACATACTTTATAATTCTATTTATATAACATTATTAAAATGACAACATTACAGAGATTAGAGCAGATTAGTGCTTGCCAGGATTTAGGGACAGAACCAGATTGTAGATACTGGAGGGAGTTGAGTGTGGTATAAAAGGCAATATGAAAAATTCTTGTAGTGATGGAAGTACTGTTCAGCACCCTTTTAAAAAAAATTTTTATTTATTTTTTATTCTCACCTGAGGACATTTTTGCATTTATTTTCAGATAGAGCAGAAGGGAGAGAGGGAGGAAGAGAGAGAGAGAAACATCAACATGAGAGAGGCACATCTAGTGGCTGCCACCCACACAACCCCAACCAGGGCCGGGGACAAATCGCAACCAAGGTACATGCTCTTAGCAGGAACCTAAGCCAGGACTCTCTGGTCCAGGGGCCAACGCTCTAACCGCTGAGCAAAACCGGCCAAGGTGAACTGTTCAGTATCTTGATGTGGTGGTGAACACACGAACTTGCCCAAGGAATAAAATGCTATAGAATTAAACACACACACACGAGCACAAGTAAAACTGGAAAGTATGAATAAGAGCAGAGAATTGCATCCATGTTTTAAAATTATAGTATAATTTTGCAAAGTGTTATCATTGGAGAAACTAGAAAGAGTTTCTGGACAGATCCCTAATAAAAGACCTGTGTATTATTTCCCCAAATTGCATGAGAGTCTACAATGATCTCATTAAAAAATAAAGTCCAAAGAGGCATTAAAGACCTAAATATGAGAAACACAAGGTTAAAGTTTTTAGAAGAAAACAAGGAAGAACATCTTTATGACTTCATGACAAGGAAAGATATATTTTTTTAAAAAGGAAGCACAAACCATAAAGTCAAAGACTGATATACATGTGACTACATTTAAATAAAAATTCTGTGCAGCAAATACCATTTAAAAAGTTGTAAAGACAGCCCTGGCCGGTTTGGGTCAGCGGCTGGAGCGTCGGCCTGCGGTCCAGAGAGACCCGGGTTGGGTTCCCTCTAAGGGCACGTACCTCGGTTGCAGTTTGTCCCTGGCCCTGGTTGGTCGTGCGGGTAGCAGCCACTCAATGTGTTCCTTTCACGTCGATGTTTCTCTCTCTCTCTCTCTCTCTCTCTCTCTCTCTCTCTCTCTCTCTCTCTCTCTCTCTCTTCCTCTCTCTCCCTCCCACTCTATCTGAACAAAAAATGGAAAAATGTCCTCGGGTGAAGATAAGAAAAAAAATTTGTAAAGACAAGCTACAGAGTGCTAGAAAATTATGTGCAGCATAGGTATCTGACAAAGGATTAATATCTAGAATATATAATAATCAAACCAATAAACCTAAAATTTTTTTTATTGACTTTAGAGAGAGAGGAAGGGAGAGGGAGAGATAGATAGAAACATCGATGAGAGAGAACATCAACTGGCCACGTCCTGCATGCCCCCCACTGGGATTGGGCCCATAACCTGGGCATGTGTTCTGACTGGGAATCGTACTGGCAACCTCTTGGTGCGTGGGTCCACGCTCAGCCACTGAGCCACACCAGCTGGGTACATCAATAAATTTTATTTTTATTCTTACCCAAGAACATGTTTCCATTTTTGTTCAGGTAGAGTGGGAGGGAGAGAGAGGAAGAGAGAGAAACAGAAACATCGACGTGAAAGGGACACATCGACACATCGAGTGGCCACCTCCCACACGACCCCAACCGGGGCCAGGGACAAACTGCAACCAAGGTACGTGCCCTTAGTGGGAACCGAACCCGGGTGTCTCTGGACCGCAGGCCAACGCTCCAACTGCTGAGCCAAGTCGGCCAGGGCTCAATAAACTTTTTTAAATAATGGTTTTAAATGACTAAATGATATAAAGAAGCAATACCAGAAGAAAAAACCTGGTCAATGTACATGTTAAAATGTACTCAACCATTCTAGTCATCTGAGAGATGCCTAAACACCACAAGAAACCATTTCACATTAATCAAATTAGCAAAACTTTAAAAGGTCTGACAATATCAGGTGATAGAGAGGAAATGGGACAATTGTCTCATACATTGCTGCTAGTGTGCACTTTAGAGCAAACACTTTAGGAAGCATATTGGCAACATCTGATAAAGTTAAAGATACATATATTTTTTGATCCAGCGGTTTCACTCCCAGATCTATAAATATTTTTTGGTCATGAGTCACACAATGAAACACTTTAAACACATTATATATTTATAAATGAAGCAAAAGTTTTCTACAATATTTTTATCCTGCATGCAAAGCCCTGTGGTATCTTCTATTTTATTCAGTTTCATTTTTTTTTAATGCTCAGCATGATGAATTAATTTGTTTTATAATCCATTAATGCAGTTGTTTTCAATCTTGGCTACATATTACAATCAGCTGGGGAGCTTTTAAATATCTTCATTGCCAAGGCCACAGCCCAAACAAATTAGAATATCTGGGGAGTGTGACTCCAGCCTCAGTAGTTTTTAAAGTTCTCAGGTGATTCCAATGTGTAGTCAAAACTGAGAATCTCTACATTAATGGGTCACAATATATAGTTTGAAAAACACTGCTCTAATTTAGTTAGTACTATTTTGCCAATGTTAGTACTTTGGTTTTAATTATTGTACTATGGGTATGTGATATTCATATTAGGGGAGGCTGAGTAAATGTTATATGGAAACTCTGTACTAATTTTGCAACTTTCTGTAAGTCTAAAACTATTTCAAAATAAAAATGATTTTTAAAAGGTAAACAACTGCCCTAGAGAAAATACTGCACCAGGAAACATGTATGAGAATGTTAGAGCCACAATGTTTGTAAAAGCAAAAAATTGGAAACACCAAAATGTCCACCAACAGAAGAATGCATAAATACACTGTGCCATTTTCCTACAATGGAATAATGTACAGTAGTTTAAAAGCATGAACCAAAAATATATATACCAACATGGATGGATCTCAAGAATAGATAATGAACAAAGCAAGTTGCAGAAGCATAATTTATAGTATGATACCATTTAGTGAGATTTCAAAACATGTGAAACAAGACTATATATTTTTATGAGTATATACATAATGAGTAAAAGAATAGAGAAAGGCACGAAAATGAAAATCACTAAATTCAAAATGGCAATTACCAAGGGAAGGAGGTAAGAGAATGGAATTAGGGTAGGGTGGAGAGGGTACTTCAGTTGCATTTGTACTGTTTAATTACTTAAGCTGAGTGGTGGGTATATAAGCAGTGGCTGTACAATATTACTTTTTTTTTTTCTCATTGGTATGTCTGATGTATTTTATAATAAAAATTAATCCAAATGACTAATAAATCATTAGGCAGGATAGAAAAAAAGAAGGACTGTGTAGAAGCACTGAGTTTGGGAGCAAGTGAGTGGGAGAAGCACACAATTCTTGCTCTCTACCCAACTGGGGCATCTGCCAATGTGCTTGACTATCAATGTGCCAAGAAGGTGATTATGCCACATGAATGCTAAGCCCTTGGGGCTAGCATTTCATTAGTGACTTGAACAAGAGTAAGCTCAGATGACAGCCCAGATCCTCTGATTCCACTTTAGAGACAAATATCTCCTTGTTAGTATGCTCTTGGGGTAGAGCTGAGATTAGAACAAAGAGCACTGGAAACAAAATCGATCTGTGTGATCACCATCATCATTGACCACAAACATTTCTCTAGTAGAGCCCAAGCTCTGGAGCCTAAGGCTGAGACAGTAGTGAGGGAAAGGAAAGTGACATTCTTTATCCTTTTAATAAAGAGTCATCCCCTGCAAGCACTGTGATTAATCAGACTTTCACCATGACCATTCTTGGGTGTAATCACACTGCTGACCTCCATTGCCTAGCTAAAGTCACTCATCATCCTGCTGAGGAAATAAATAACGGAGGTGGTAAAGGAGTTGATTTTGGATCCAGGACTACTTTGAGGAGGTGTCTCAGGCAGTAATCAACAGTTGTGGACACCCAAAGCCAGGGTTCTGAGTGCCTAGGGGCCTCCAGAAGAAAATAAATAAAGAAAGGTGGTAGGTACCACAGATATACCCCATCTACTTCCTAATTTAGTCTCAGGTCCAGGTCTGCTTTCTCCCAGATAGCAGATGGGAAATGCTTCCCAAGCAGAAAGGGTGGATTTTGTCCCCTACTCCATCTTCCCCCGGTAGGTTTCAGGGTCTGGTCGTGGTAAGGTACAATGTGCGAACACCATCCATCCTACTTCCATGCTGCATGGCAGAGCTTCTCCCCTTTCCTTTGTCCCAAACTTTCCCTTGAGAAAGGGAGGCCCATTCTTTACATCTGCCAGGAAAGGCTCGGGCGGGGGCGGGGGGGTGCCTAACCTCAGAAAATTGAGAAGACCCAGTCATGAATGGGGCCATTATGTGAATCCTTGACAGCAAATTGTAATCCCAGATGGGCATCTCTTTGTTCAGGGAATATTGAATAACTAGGGAGATCGTAAGGATAGGGAGGATAGGAGAGATTTAGAAGACTGAGTTTACAGTTTTGGCTACAGATATGGGGAGGAAGGGAAAGTCGCTGAGGATAGGAATTGAAGGAGTTACGGGGCTTGGAAGATCAGTGGGTACCATTTCATGAGACGAAGCAAATTTGGGTGGAATAAGATGATAGTTATTTTTATTTTTTTACTCACCTTTACAGGATGAGTTTGAGGGACAACTGAGTGGCGGTGTCTAAAAAGCAGGTGGTTCTACAGGTCAGGTATTCAGAGTAGAGGTCTAGTCTGGGCATTACCAGCACAAAGATTGTTAACTGGGGAGTAGACAAGGTGCCTAGGATAGAGTGTAAAGAGAAAAGAGGACTGAGCTATCCTGAGGACAGAACAACTTAGTTAACAGAGAGCTCACCTTGCTGCTTCTCTGTAACAGTTCTTTGAAAAAGAGAAAGCAAAAACCTTTGTAAAGAAATGCCAGGATCCCAGTAGAAAATCAACAATAAAATTAATTGATTTAATTTCCAATATGACATCTTTGTTACCACAATTGCTATACATTTTGTAAAAATTCAGGCAGTGGAACTTACTGGAGACAAATTAAACCAGAAAGGTTCTTTAAAGAAGATGCTGTACTTTGATAAAATGAAATTTGTTCCCTAAACCACTTTGAACAACTCTTCATCTCATTTATCAGGATCAAACTTTTCAGACAAAAACCTATTTTGGTCAAGTCTTTAAATACTAGATGGGAAAAGTCTCCTTAACTGATGGGGCTGAAGAGAATAATCAGACAGCAATTTCCTTGGTCCTAGTTGAAAAATTATGATGAGCTGAGTAGAAGTGCTTTCACCAACTATATACCAAACATAATTTCATGTTTAAGCTGCTGATGACAGTAGATATTTCCCATAATAGGCACTCTAACTGCATGAAATAATGAACTGAAAGTAGGTGAGAGGCTATTGATGGACTTACTAAACCTTAGCAATAGCTAAGTGATACTGATTAAGGAGCATTGAGAGAGAGAGAGATCATATGAATAAGTCTTTAGCATTTTAAATTCTTAGAATAGCCCCTCCATCACTGAATTTTACAACCCTTTGTAACTGACAATAATTCATTAAGAGGGGGATTGTGTAAATGGAAAAAGTTACCTATCTCCCAGGTAGGCTCTGGTGATGAATCACTGAGGTAAGTAAAAGTCCTCAAATCCCTTTGATAAAGAGACCCTTTATCACCAGTCTTCTCACTCCTTCCAATTCTAGAACCTGCCTGTTAGGAAGAGACAGAAATGACCTTGGAGACTGAGGCCTAGTAGAATGACTCCTTCCGTAGACTGCTCAGTGGTGGACTCAGAGGTGAAGGTGAAGGGAATTCTGGGGAGGGGGTTGCACAGAAACTAAGAACAGATATATGCCACATTGTCAGCTCCCAGTGAAGGAAATTTTGGGGAAATCTGATTTACCTGTTGTATTAGTTTTCTGAGCCCTTCAAAATAAAAAAAGTGCCCAGGCCAGTTTGGCTCAGTGGTTAGGCCTGCGGACCAGAGAGTCCTGGGTTTGGTTCTCACTAGGGGCACCTACCAAAAAATAAAAAATAAAAAAGTACCACAAACTGGATGATCTAAACAACAGAAATCTTTTGTCTTGGTTCTGAAGTTTAGACATGTGAGATTAAGGTGTGGGCAGGGTTGCTTCCTCCTGAGGGCTGTGAGGGAAGACTTGTTTCAAGACTCTTTCCTTGGCTTATGGATGGCCATCTTTTCCCTGTGTCTTCATATGGTGTTCTACTTATATGTGTATGTGTGTGTATCTATGTTCAATGTTCCCCTTTTACTGGAGTAGGGCCCACACTAAAAAATTCATTTTAACTTAATTACCTCTATGGAAACACTATCTCCAAATATGACATTCTGAGGTACTGGGAGTTTGGATTTCAACATTTTTTGGGTGAGGACACAATTCAATCCATAACATCTGTCAAACATGTAATCTGGTTCCAAAAAAAACACTATTCCCACATTGCCAGACCTCTTGCTGGTAAGGAACTTTGAGGCTTGGACTTATGGACTGAAAGGGCCACAGGGGACCCCAGAAAACAGACAGTTTGACAAGGGATGGGTCCAAATTCACACGTCAGTTCTTCAATTAAGGCAACAACTTTTTCCTAGGAAGTGTCAGAAGCCTCAGGCAGAGAACATGGGGAAGACAGCCAAACGAGTATCATTTCCCAAGGACCAAGCCACAGGGCAAGAGCCATCGCAAAATTCTGCTCTGATGGCAAGTGAGTGGCACTCCTAGCTAAATTTCTTTTTTAATCTTTTTTTCCTATAATTAATTAATTTATTTTTGCTACAGATGTCTCTACTTTTTCCTCCACTGATTTCTCCCTCCCCCTCGCTCCCGACACTATCCCCACCTTTGTTGTCCATGTACATTGTTCATGCATACATATATATAAGTTCTATGATTAATCTCCCTCCCACCCCCTCTTCTGGGGATTGTCAGTCTGTACCCCACTTCCACATCTCTGGGACTACGCCATTCCTCAGACTGTTATGTTCATTATATTCCACAAATAAGTGAGATATATGATACTTGGCTTTCTCTGTTTGGCTTCTTTCACTTAGGATAATACTTTCCAGGTCCCTCCATGTAGTCTCAAAGGATAAGAGATCTTTTTTTCTTAGAGCTGTGTAGTACTCCATTGTGTATATGTACCACTACTTTTTTATCCATTTGTCTACTGATGGACATTTGGGCTGTTTCCAGACCTTAGCTATTATAAATAGTGCTGCTACAAACATATATTCTTTGTGATTGGTGTTTCAGGCTTCTTAGGGTATATTCCTAGAAGTTGGATCACTGAGTCAAATAGAAGTTCAATTTTTAATTTTTTGAGGTAACACCATAGTGTTTTCCATAGTGGCTGCACCAGACTGCATTCTCACCAGCAGTGTACTAGAGTCCCCTTTTCCCCACACCCTCAGCAACACTTGTTTGATGATTTGTTGATGGCGGCCATTCTGACAGGTGTGAGGTGATACTTCATTGTTGTTTTAATTTGCATCTCTCTGATGATTAGTGATGTTGAGCATTTCTTCACATGTCTCTTAGCCATTTGTATGTCCTGCTTGGAGAGGTGTCTATTTAGTTCCTCTGTCCATTTTGTAATTGGGTTCTTTGTCTTCTTTTGTTGAGCTGTATGACCACTCTCTATATATATTGGAAATTAACCCATTGTCTGATATATCATTGGCAATTATGCTCTCCCATACAGTGGGTTGCCTTTCCATTTTGATGATTGTATCGTTGGCTGGGAAGAAGCGTTTGAGTTTGATGTAGTCCCATGTGTTCATTATCTCATTTGTTTCTGTTGCCTTAGGTGATGTATCAGTGAAAAATCTGCTGTGTGTGATGTCTGAAATTTTGTTGCCCACATTTTCTTCTAGGATTTTTATGGATTCATGAGTCACATTTAAGTCTTTTATCCATTTTAAATTTATTCTTGTGTAGGGTGTAAGTTGATGGTCTAGCTTCATTTTTCTGCATGTAGATGTCCAATTTTCCCAGCACCATTTATTAAAGAGGCTGTCCTTACTCCACTGTATGCTCTTGCCACCTTTGTCAAATATTAATTGAGCATTTTGCCTTGGGCCCATTTCTGGGTTCTCTGTTCTCTTCCACTGGTCTATATGCCTGTTCTTGTGCCAGTACCAGGCAGTTTTTATTACAGTGGCTTTGTAGTATAAAAGTCTGAAGTCTGCTCATGTAATCCCTCCAACTTTGTTCTTCTTTTTCAAGATTGCTGTTACTATTCAAGGTCTTTTTGGGTTCCATATGACCTTTTGAAGTATTTGTTCTAGTTCTGGGAAGTACGTTGTTGGTATTTTGATGGGGATTGCATTGAATCTATAGATTGCTTTGAGTAGTATGGACATTTTAATGATGTTAATTCTTCCAATCCATAAACAAGCTATGTGCTTCCACATTTTTATATCTTCCTCTATTTCTCTTTTCAATGACCTGTAGTTCTCTGTGAAAAGTCCTTTATTTCTTTGGTTAAATTTATTCTTAGGTATCTTAATTTCTTTGCCATGATGGTATATGGAATTGTTTTTTTAGTTTATTTTTCTGTGAGTTCATTATTAGTGTATTAGAATGTCATTGATTTCTTGATGTTAATTTTGTATCCTGCTACTTTGTCAAATTCATTTATTAAGTATAGCAAATTTTTGATGGAGTCTTTTGGGTTTTCTACGTATAGTATCATCTCATCTGCGAATAATGACAGTTTCAATTCCTCCTTTTCGATTTGGATCCCCCTTATTATTTCTTCCTGTCTGTTTGGTGTGGCTAAGACTTCCAGTACTATGTTAAATAAGAGTGGCGAAAGTGGTCATCTTGTCTTGTTCCAGTCCTTAAGGGAAATGCTTTTAGTTTTTGCCCATTGAGTATGATGTTGGCTGTAGGCCTTTCATATATGTCCTTTAATATGTGTAGATATGATCCCTCTATTCCCAGATTGCTGAGCATTTTTATCAGAAGTGGGTGCTGGATTTTGTCAAAAGATTTTTCAATGTCTATTGATAAGATCATATGATTTTTATCTTTCATTTTGTTTATGTGGTGTATCACATTTATTGATTTGCAAATATTGTACCAGCCTTGCATCCCTGGGATGAATCCCACTTGGTCATGGTGAATAGTTTTTTTGATGTATTGCAGGATCCAATTTGCTAGTATTTTGTTCAGGATTTTGGCATCTATGTTCATCAGGGATATTGGTCTGCAGTTTTCTTTCTTTGTAGTGTCTTTTCCTGGTTTTGGAATTAGAATTATGCTGGCCTCATAAAACGAGCTTGGAAGTTTTCTTTCTTCTTGAATTTTTTGAAATAGTTTGAGGAGAATGGGTATTAGTTCTTCTTTGAATGTTCGGTAGAATTCCCCCATGAAGCCGTCTGGGCCTTTGTTTGCTGGGAGAGTCTTGATTACATCTTCAATTTCTTTTGTTGCTATTGGACTGTTCAAGTTTTCTATCTCTTCCAAGTCCAGGTTTGGGAGACTTTGTGTTTCTAGAAATTTTTCCATTTCTCTTAGATTGTCAAATTTGTTGCCATATAATTGTTCATAATATTTGTTAATGAACCTTTGTATTTCTATTTTGTCAGATATTATTTCTCCTTTTTCATTTCTGATTTCGTGTATTTGGGTTCTCTCTCTTTGTTTCTTGGTGAGTTAGCTAAGGGTCCATCAATCTTGTTTACGTTTTCAAAGAACCAGCTCTTTGTTTCATTGAAACTTTGAATTGTTTTTTTGGTCTCCATGTCATTTATTTCTGCTCTGATCTTTACTTTTTTATTCCTTATACTTCCTCTGGGGTTTTCTTTTCTTTTTTTTTTTTTTTCTAGTTCTTTAGTTTTGACATTAGATAGTCTATTAGAATTTTTTTGCTTCTTGAGGTAGGCCTGTAGTGCTATGAACTTCCCTCTCAGAACTGTTTTCACTGCATTGCATAGATTTTGTGTTGTTGTGTGTTCATTTTCATGGTTTCTAGGAAGTTTTTAATTTCTTCTTTGATCTCCGTGGTAACCCATTCATTACTCAATAACATGCTATTTAGCCTCCATGTTTTCAAATGTCTTTGCATGTTCTTGTTGCAATTGATTTCTAGTTTTATGCCATTGTGATCTGAGAAGATGCTTGATATAATTTCCATCTTCTTGATCTTGTAGAGACTTAGTTCATGCCTTAACATGTGATCTATCTTTGAGAATGTTCCATGTGCACTTGAGAAGAATGTGAATTCTGCAGTTTTTGGGTGTAATTCTCTGTAGATATCTATTAAATCCATTTGATCTAGCACTTTGTTTAGAGTCTGTGATTCGTTGTTAATTTTTTGTCTAGAAGTTCTATCCAGTGATGTCAGAGGGTATTGAAGACCCCTGCTGTGATTGTATTGCTATTGATTTCTCCTTTGAAGTCCTCCACAAGTTTTTAATATATGTTGGTGCTCCTCTATTGGGTGTATATATGTTTACCAAGGTTATATCTTCCTTTTGGATAGTTCCTTTCAATTTTATGTACTGGCCTTCTTTGTCTCTAGTTATGGCCTTCATTTTGAAATCTATTTTATCAGATATGAGTATTGCTACCCCAGCTTTTTATTTGCTTTCCATTTGCTTGAAAGTTTTTTTTCCATCCTTTCACTTTCAACCTCTGTGAGTCTTTTGTTGTGAGGTGGGTCTCTTGAAAACAACACATATGTAAGTCATGCTTTCTTATCCAGTCAGCCACTCTGTGTCTTTTTATTGGGGCATTCAGTCCATTCACATTAAAATTGAGCCCTGGCCGGTTTGGCTCCGCGGTTAGAGCGTCGGCCTGCGGTCTGGAGAGACCCGGGTTCGGTTCCCGCTAAGGGCACGTACCTCGGTTGCAATTTGTCTCCGGCCCTGGTTGGTCATGTGGATGACAGCCACTCGCTGTGTCTCTTTCACGTCGATGTTTCTCTCTCTCTCTCTCTTCCTCTTTCTCCTTCCCACTCTATCTATACAAAAAATGGAAAAATGTCCTCAGGTGAGGATAAAAAAAAAAGTGATAATTGATATGTACTTATTTATTGCCATTTTTGTTTAGCGTAGTTATATTTTTCTTCCTATTTCTTCTACTAATTACAGCAGTCCTTTTAGCTTATCTTTCAGTACTGGTTTGGTGTTAATGTATTCCCTCACCTTTTTTTTTTGTCTGGAAAGCTCTTTATTTGACCTATTTTGAATGATAGCCTTGCTGGATAGAGTAATCTTGGATTCAGATTCTTGTTTTTCATGACCTTGATTACTTTATGCCACTCCCTTCTGGCCTTAGTGTTTCTGTTGAGAAGTCAGCTGAGAGCCTTATCTGGTTTCCTTTTCAGGTAACCAGTTGCTTATCTCTTGCTGCTTTTAGGGTTCTCTCTTTGTCTTTAATTTTTACCATTTTAATTACTATGTGTCTTGGTGTGGGCCTGTTTGGGTTCTTCTTACTTGGGGCTCTCTGTGCTTCTTGAACTTGAATGCCTTCTTCCTTCACCAAGTTATTAAAGTTTTCTGTCACTATTTCTTTAAGTATATTCTCTAACCCTTACCCATTTTCTTCCTCTTCGGGGACTCCTGTGATGCGAATGTTATTACGTTTTCAGTTGTCCCACAGTTCTCTTAAGTTATCTTCCTGTTTTATAATTGCTTTTTCCTTTTGATTTTCTGATTGGTTGATTTTTTGTACCCTGTTTTCTAATTCCCTGATCTGGTCCTCAGCTTCCTCTACTCTGCTGGTTAGTCCTTCCAGTGTGTTCTTAATTTCTGCTATGTCATTCTTCATTTCCACTTGGTTGGTTTTCAATGTTTCTATATCTTTACTCATGGTGCTATTGTCCTTCCTCGTGCTGTTGAGCTTCCTCAAGATCATGGCTCTGATCTCTACGTCTGTTAATTTGCTTAGCTGCATTTCATTTATCTCATCTTCGATAGAGTTCTCTTGTTCTATCATGTGGGATTTGTTTCTTTGTTTCACCATTTTTGCTATTTCAGTGGGTTTTGGAGCCTACCAAAGTTTCCCTGTGGGTGTTAGTGTTCTGCTGTTTATGGCTCTCTCTGCTGGGTTGGATGAGCCTGGGTGGGCCCACGTTAAACACCACTCTCATGTCTTACTTTCCTGGGTACATTTGAAAGCCCAGGAAGGGTTCATTTACCCTCTAGCTTTTTCCTGGTGGCTAGTAGTCTCAGTTACTCAGTGCCTTGGAATGTAGTCCTGGTGTTCTGCATACAGAGGATTTCCAGAGGTTAGGATAAATGCTGGTTGTTAATAAGCCTCACCTGGGAAAGCCTGAATCTCTTACAGGGGTGGCTGCTGCTTTTCCCCACATCTTGGGGAAGGAGCACACTGGCCACTGGCCTTTGTGGCCGCAACTCAGCAAAAACTCTGAGTGCCCTCCAAATCCTGGGTGTCCCAACAGAGTTCCAGCCCAGTCTGCCTTCCTGCTGCCTTAGCCCCCAGGTGAGTGACTGTGGCTATTTTAGTGCTTGTCCTGCGTCTTTGCGCTGTGGAGCGGGTTTGGGCTTTATTCCCCAAAGTTGCTGCTCACAGCTAAAACTGCTGCTGGCCATGGGCTTCCAGCCTGCCACCCTCTCCTGCCTCCACTGTTCCTACCAGTGTTCCTGGTTATATGTTCCTGTCCTGCTGCTTTTCTGTTTTTTTTTTTGTTTTTTTTTTTTTTTTTTTCTGCGAGGATTTGTCTTTATTTTAGTTGTAATTCCCGTTTGTTCCTGGTAGATCATCTGTGTAGCTTCTATTCACTCCACCTCCATTTTTCACACCCTCTATGCATATCTTGTGAGCACCTGGGTCACAGAGGTCTTTCTGGTGCCCTTGCTCCCTGAATGTCCCACGGGTAACTGGATGGCACAGTCCCTTTGGGGACCTGGCTCTATGCCTATGTTATGGATGGCTGGGTAACACAAGCCTCTCTGGTGCTTCAGCACCCTGCAGGTCCTGAGGGTAACTAGATGGAGCAGTCCTTGCCTGGTTGCACAGTCCTCTCTGGTGCTTCAGCACCCTGTAGGTCCCATAGGTAATTGGATGGCATAGTTCCTGCTGGGTCGCACAGGCCTCTCTGGTGCCCCAGTGCCATGCAGTTCTCGTGGGCTGGCATCTGGATCGCACCAGTCTCTCTTGGGCTCAGCCTTCTCACTGCACTTGTGAACTGCTGGACCACACAGGCCTCTGTGGAGCCCCAGATCCCACTGCTGGAGGCTGGGGTGTGCTGCTGCTCCGTGGGGCTCAACTCCTGCCTAGCTTTTGCTGTAGTTTTTGGGGATGGGTCTCTGCTGCTGGTCTGTGCTTCTGTTGCCTGGGGATGGATGTCTGCTCCCCAGCCTCTGTTGCTGGGGGTATATCTCAACTCTGATTGGGCTGCTACTATGGGGGATGGTGCTGGGCGCCCGGCTGTCTGTGGCTTCCACAACCAGCTCCACTACTATGCACAGGTCTGTGTTGACACAGAGTTCCACTGGTCCGATGGTGCCAGGTGTGCTGGTGGGCTTGGGTGCTGGGCCCTAGCTGCTCCCACTGCCTCCTCCCAGGGAAGCCTGGCTATATTTCTCAATGGTTGTTGTTCCTCTCCCACATCTTCCTCACTGCCCTTATTTATTCCTGGTGTCCATGAGGCCTTATAGTAAGTTCAACTGAAACAGGTTTTTTCCCCTATCCAAGTATACTTTAAATCCATTTCAAAACACAAAGAGATCCCTGACTGGTGTGGGTTAGTTGGTTGAGCATAGTCCCATGCACTGAGAGATTGAAGGTTGGATTCTTTATCAGGGCACATCCTTGGGTTGTGGGCTTGATCCTCAGTAGAGTGTGAGCTTGATCCTCAGTAGAGTGTGAGCAGAAGGCAGGCTATTGATGTTTCTCTCTCTCTCTCTCAAATCAATTTTGAAAAAGATTAAGAAAATAAAAGCTGGAAGACAGGAGGAAATAAAGAGAGGTGACTTAGCTATTACAAAATGCAACGGAAAATTACAGTAACTTGGATGTATACTGAGCTTTCTCTTTTTTTGTTGTTGTTTCAATCCTCATCTGAGGATATTTTTCCATTTTTGTTCAGATAGAGTGGAAAGGAGAGAGAGAAAAACATCAATATGAGAGAGACACATTGACTGGTTGCCTCCTGTACAATCTCAACCACGGCTGGGACGAACTGCAACTGAGGTACGTGCCCTTGATTGAAATCGAACCCAAGGGTCATTGGTCTGCAGGCCAACGTTCTAACTGCTGAGCCAAACTGGCCAGGGTTCTCTTTTAAGAATAAAATGAAGGATTAAATTCATTGCTCAATCTTCATGCAGTTTTCTCTCTCTGAGTTCTGCAGATCAGTTTGTTACCCACTTTTCTTCTTTTTTTCTAAAAAAATTCACGTAACACGAAATTTATCATTTTAACCATTTTTAAGTGTGCAATTCAGTACTGCTACCACCCCTGGATCATTAGTACTGCTGAGTGCTCCCAGAAGCACTATAGCTGAAAAGTTGGGCAGGGATTTTTAGAGTCCAACATACCTTGGCCCAAACCACCGCTCTTCCACATCCTGACTGTATGACCTTGGACAAGCTGCTTGACTTCTTCTCTGACTCTTAATTTCTTCATTTTTTAAATAGGCTATACCTCCCAGGGTATAAATGAGTAAAAATGAGCATCAATGCACATATCACTTAGCACAGAGTAAAAGTTCAGAGTGTCTAATCTTATTAGCGACTCTCTTGCAAGAAATAATAAAATTTAGTCTATTATCTGAGAAATCATTTGTGCCGCCTTTATATTACACAGCTCAGAGAAAAAATACTTCCTTGAATTCTAAGATACATGGAAACTTCCTCTTTCATTACTTAGCCCCTGTTGCTTCTCACTCATCCTTTCCCTACCTCCACAACCCAGCTGTACTTGCCATGTTGATCTCTCTCCCAGTCAACCCTCTAACCTCATAGTTTCTATGGGTCAGGAATTTGGAAGTGTTTATCTGGGTGGTTCTGGCTCAGAGTCTCTCTGTCAATATGTCTTTTGGGAATGCAGTTACCTTAAGGCTTAAATGAAACTGGAGGACCTGCTGCCAGGGTAATGCACTCACGTGGCTGGCAAGTTGGTGCTGGCAGTTGGCAGGAGGCTTCAGTTTTATATACTATGGACCCTCACAGCCATGCTTGGTTGTCCCCCATGACATGGTATTGGCTTCCCCCAGAATAAGTAAACCAAGAAAGAAAGGAAGAAGTGGCTGTGCTGTTTATGACGTACTCCCAGAAGTACATACATTATATATACAATGAAATATTATTGAAATATTTCAATATTTTGACCTTGAAAAAGAAGGAGATCCTGCCACTTGTGACAATATGGATGAACCTGGAGGACATTATGCTAAGTGAAATAAGCTAGTCACAGAAGCACAAATACTGCATGCTCTCATGTATATGTAGAATCTAAAACAGATGAACTTACAGAAGCAGAGACTATAATGATGGTTACGGGAAGCTGGGAAATAGGGGGAAAATGGAGAGCTGTTGGATCAAAGTGTAGTTTCAGTTATGCAAGATGAACAAGTTCTGGAATCTAATGTACAGTAATGTGGCTATAGTTAATACTAGTGTATATATTTTAAGTTTTCTAAGAGGGTAGATCTTAAGTGATCTCACCACACACACATATGCAAAAGGTAACTATATGAGGTGATGGATGTGTAGCTTGCTTGTAATGATATGCACACAATGTATACATAATCAAAACATAAAATTGTGTTCCTTAAATATATGTAATTTTTAATTGTTAATTATACCTCAATACAGTTAAAAAAGAGAAAAAATATCCAAAACGATTTAATTTAATTTATAAAAGAAATAAATACCTGTCACTTCTGGAATATCCCATTGATCTTATAGGACAGCCTTATTTATTATGAGAGAAAACCACACAAAAGTGCGACCATCAGGCAGCGAGGATAATTAAGGCTGTCTTGGAAGCTGACTACTAGAGATATTTTATGTGGCCAGTACTTTGAAATGACTTGGTATCAAGAGTGGGAGAAAATGGGAACTCTCACTACTGGTTGGTATTTAGTCTTAAAACATCTGACCCAGAAATTTTCATTCTAGAAATCTGTCCTAAGGAAATAATTATAGATACACACACAAAAATTAAGTGTAAGGATGTTCATCATAGTTAATAATCATAAATATTTTACAACTTAAATTCCCATAATAATCGGTTAAGTAAATTAAGGTAACCATATAATAGAATATTATGTAGAAGAATATTTAATGACATGAAAAAGTATTCATTGCGTATGGTTAGATTTTTTTAAAAGAAAGCAATTAATCAATTGCTCACTTTTTTAAAAGATTTTTATTTATTTATTTTATTATTTATTTTTTTGTTAACCCTCACCTGAGGATATTTTTCCATTGATTTTTTGATAGAGTCGAAGGTAGGGAGGGAGAGAGAGACTTTGATGTGAAAGAGACACACTGATTGGTTGCCTCCTGAAGGACCCTGACAGGGGTAGGGGATCGAACCTGTAACCCAGGTATGTGCCCTTGACTGGGAATTAAACCTGAAATCTTTCTGTCTGTGGGCTGATGCTCTAACAGCTAAGCCAAACTGGATAGGGCGTGAGAACATTTTTAAAGCATTTTTTTTTTTATCCTCACCCGAGGACATTTTTTTTTTTAACCATATATTTTGTTCAGATAGAGTGAGAGGGGGAGAGAGAGAGAGAAACATTGACATGAAAGGGACACATCGAGTGGTTGCCACCCTCATGACCCAACCAGGGCCGGGGACAAACTGCAACCGAGGTACCTGCCCTTAGCGGGAACCGAACCCAGGTCTCTCTGGACCACAGGCTGACACTCTAACCACTGAGCCAAACGGGCCAGGGCAAGAACATTTTTAAAGCATTTGTATATACACATAGATAGATGATAGACAAAGGATATACTTCAAATGCAAGCAGTGGTTATCGCAATCCTCTGATAAGAAAAAATGAGATATTTTAATTTTTACAAAAATCTCAGCCCAAGCATCACCGCCTCCCAGAAGCTTCGCCTAATCCTGAATTTTGCTGCTCTCATCCTTTAGCCTGAGTTACCTGCTTTCTTCTCATGCATCCAAAGCATCCTGCCCATACCTCCTGTGGTGCACTTTCTAAGTAGCATTGGCCTGCTTGTCTATGCCTCTGTCCTTTCCCTGTCACTAAACTCATATTGTGCCATATTGTGTCCACCTGCATATCCCTGTTGCAATGTACAGGGCCTGGTAAACCACAGACACTCAGTATGGCTTGTTGAATGGAAGTGAGTGGCATTGACTCACCTTTAGACAAGCCAGCTGGTATGGGCTGGATTCCACTACTTCTCTTAAAGCTGTCCTGGGAGCAGCAAGGACATTGAAAATGGTGTGGGATGAGTAGGCTATGCTTCTAGCCCAGACCCTGACAACTTCCTTTGGAATGGCTCCAGAATTGAGTAGAGGCTATTGCACAGTACCTGTTTAGTGGTTCTCGTGCTGTTTGGTTTCACACACAAATTTAACTCTATTTTTGTAGGCTTTAGCTCTGTCCCAGGTTTCATCAAGTAAATGATGGCAGACCAAGCACCTGAATAGAAGTAAAGTTCAACTCAATTCAATTAATAATGTCTTATAAATGTACTGAAAATATCACATGATCCAGTATCTAAGTTGGCTCCTTTACCACCACCCACACAAACAGATTAGATAATGCTATATGGGCAGGCTCTGATATATGACTTCCCAATTCAGCCAAAGCTTCTACATTCCAAACAGTTATGAGCAATTTAATAGCGATAACAACCATTTGGGATAAGAATATATGGCAAATTTGAGTTGTAAATGTCATTTATTTACTGAAAAAAATGGGACATTTAAATCAGGTCTTGAATTATGTTTATATTACTAAAAGGAAAAAAAATATTATTAATGGGGAAGGATGTTTTAAACTTCCAAGCTTCCTTTCTAGAATAAATATCATGAAAGTAACCAAGGACAAAAGGACTACAACTTATTCATGCCTAAGACTAATTCTGACTGGATCCACAGTAACATCAGAGCAAGGAAGTTTCTTAACATTTGAAATGTGGGGCTGGCTAATAGAAAATACCCTTAAGTGGCCAGGAAAATTTTCCTCAGGCAAAGAGGCCAAGAAAAAAGGTGAGTGTGAGGAGATGTCCACAGATCAGCTCAAGAACCCTACCTGGGTTGCGTGGGCCTGGCTTGGAGGACTCAGCTCTGTTATAGCTCTGGTTTGCCTGGGTGACCTCAGGCCTATTCCGGGCCATTTCTGAGACTCTGAGCCCTCTATCACTAGAGTAACTTGGAATGGACCAGTCTCTTTTCCAAGCTCCTCAAGGCCATGAGCTTTCTGGAAAGGTGCTCAAGGGCTGCAGGTGAGTATAATGGGTGTGAAAGAACATCCTTCACCCCCCATACATGTGTGAGTGCACACACACACACACACACACACACACACACACACTTCAGCCAGGGTGGCTGTGCTCATACCACTTTCTCATAATAACCCTACACAATATATTTTAGTAAGAAAAGATGTTCTGTTTAAAAATTTTAAAAACCCCACAACATTAAGAAATGTCTGGACTATTCAGAGCCATGATCTTGAGGAAGCTGAACAGCATGAGTAAGGACATAGAGACAGGGAAAATAAGCCAATTGGAAATTAAAAACCAACAAGAAGAGATAAAAAATGACATATCCGAAATGAAAAACACATTGGAAGGTTTAAAAAGCAGAGTAGGGGAAGCTGAGGACCGGATCAGTGAATTAGAAGACAGGGTAGAAAAAATCAACCAATCAGAAAAACAAAAGGAAAAAACTATTAAAAAACAGGAAAACAGCTTAAGAGAACTATGGGACAACTGGAAACGTAATAATATTCGCATCATAGGAGTCCCCGAAGAAGAAGAAAAGGAGCAAGGGATAGAGAATATATTCAAAAAAATAGTGAGAGAAAACTTCCCTAATTTGGTGAAGGAAGAAGGCATTCAAGTTCAAGAAGCACAGAGAGTCCCAAGTAAGAAGAACCCAAACAGGCCCACACCAAGACACATAGTAATTAAAATGCCACAAATTAAAGACAAAGAGAGAATCCTAAAAGCAGCAAGAGATAAGCAACAGGTTACCTACAAAGGGAACCCCATAAGGCTCTCAGCTGACTTCTCACAAGAAACACTACAGGCCAGAAGAGAATGGCATGAAGTAATCAAAGTCATGAAAAACAAGAATCTGAATCCAAGACTACTCTACCCAGCAAGGCTATCATTCAAAATAGAAGATCAAATAAAGAGCTTCCCAGACAAAAATAGGCTAAGGGAATACATTAGCACCAAACCAGCACTGCAAGAAATGTTAAAAGGACGGCTGTAATTAGCAGTAGAAATGGGAAGAAAAATAGAACCACACTAAACAAAAATGGCAATAAATAAGTACATATCAATAATCACCTTAAACGTAAATGGATTGAATGCTCCCATAAAGAGACACAGAGTAGCTGAATGGATAAGAAAGCATGACTCATCTATATGTTGTTTACAAGAGACCCACCTCTCAACAAAAGACTCACATAGGTTGAAAGTGAAGGGATGGAAAAAAATTTTCCAAGCAAATGGAAAGCAAAAAAAAGCTGGGGTAGCAATTCTCATATCTGATAAAATAGATTTCAAAATGAAGACCATAACTAGAGACAAAGACGGCCACTACATAATATTGAAAGGATCTATTCAACAGGAAGATATAACCTTGATAAACATATATGCACCCAATATAGGAGCACCAAAATATATTAAAAATCTTCTGGAGGACTTCCAAGGAGAAATCGACAACAATACAATCATAGCAGGGGACTTCAACACCCCGTTGACAGCACTGGATAGATCCTCTAGGCAAAAAATTAGCAAGGAAACAGAGACTCTAAATGAAGCACTAGACCAAATGGATTTAATAGATATCTACAGAGAATTACACCCCAAAACTGCAGAATACACATTCTCCTCAAGTGCACATGGGACATTCTCAAAGATAGACCACATGATAGGACACAAACTAAATCTCTACAAGTTCAAGAAGATTGAAATCATATCAAGCATCTTCTCAGATCACAACGGCATGAAACTAGAAATCAATTGCAACAAGAACATGCAAAGACATTTCAACACATGGAGGCTAAATAGCATGTTATTAAACAATGAATGGGTCACCGAGGAGATCAAGGAAGAAATTAAAATCTTCCTGGAAACCAATGAAAACGAACACACGACAACACAAAATCTATGGGATGCAGTGAAAGCAGTTCTGAGAGGGAAGTTCATAGCACTACAGGCCTACCTCAAAAAACAAGAAAAATTTCTAATTGACTGTCTAACCTCACAACTTAAAGAACTAGAGAGTAAACAAAAAGAAAACCCCAGAGCAAGTAGAAGGAAGGAAATAGTAAAGATCAGAGCAGAAATAAATGACATAGAGACCAAAAAAACAATTCAAAGGATCAATGAAACAAAGAGCTGGTTTTTCGAAAAGATAAACAAGATTGATGGACCCTTAGCTAGACTCACCAAGAAACAAAGAGAGAGAACCCAAATACACAAAATCAGAAATGAAAGAGGAGAAGTAACAACCAACACCACGGAAATACAAAAGATCGTTAACAACTACTATGAACAACTATATGGCAACAAATTCGACAATCTAAGCGAAATGGACAAATTTCTAGAAACACACAGTCTCCCAAAACTATTCCCGGAAGAGATAGAAAACTTGAACAGACCAATAACAACTAAGGAAATTGAAGAAGTAATCAAGACTCTCCCAGCAAACAAAAGCCCAGGCCCAGATGGTTTCACGGGGGAGCTTTACCGAACATTCAAAAAAGAACTAACACCCATTCTCCTCAAACTCTTTCAAAAAATTCAAGAAGAAGGAAGACTTCCAAACACGTTCTATGAGGCCAGCATAATTCTAATTCCAAAAGCAGAAAAAGACACTACAAAGAAAGAAAACTACAGGCCAATATCCCTGATGAACATAGACGCCAAAATCCTGAACAAAATATTAGCAAATCGGATCCAGAAATACATCAAAAAAATTATTCACCATGACCACGTGGGATTCATTCCAGGGATGCAAGACTGGTACAATATTCGCAAATAAATAAACGTGATACACCACATAAACAAAATGAAGAATAAAAACCACATGATCATATCAATAGATGCTGAAAAAGCATTCGACAAAATCCAGCATCCATTTCTGATAAAAACGCTCAGCAATGTAGGAATAGAGGGATCATATCTCGACATAATAAAGGCCATATATGAAAGACCTACAGCCAACATCATACTCAATGGACAGAAACTAAAAACATTTCCATTAAGAACAGGAACAAGACAGGGATGTCCACTTTCACCACTCTCATTTAACATTGTACTGGAAGTCTTGGCCACAGCAATCAGACATGAAAAAAAAATAAAAGGGATCCAAATTGGAAAGGAGGAAGTGAAACTGTCATTATTTGCAGACAACATGATATTGTACATAGAAAACCCTAAAGACTCCATCAAAAATCTATTAGACTTAATAAATGAATTTGGCAAAGTAGCAGGATACAAAATTAACGTCAAGAAATCGACGGCATTCTTGTACATCAATGATGAACTCACACAAAGAGAAACTGAAAAAACAATCCCATTTACCATCGCGCCAAAAAAATTACGATACCTAGGAATAAACTTAACCAAAGAAGTAAAGGACCTATTTGCAGAAAACTACAGGTCATTGAAAAAAGAAATAGAGGAAGATATAAAAAAGTGGAAGCACATACCCTGTTCATGGATTGGAAGAATTAACATCATTAAAATGTCCATACTACCCAAAGCAATCTATAGATTCAATGCAATCCCCATCAAAATACCAATGACATATTTCATAGAACTAGAACAAATACTTCAAAAGTTCATATGGAACCAAAAAAGACCCCGAATAGCCACAGCAATCTTGAAAAAGAAGAACAAAATCGGTGGGATCACAATACCAGATATCAGGTTATACTACAAAGTGACTGTAACCAAAACAGCCTGGTACTGGCACAAGAACAGGCATATAGACCAGTGGAACAGAACTGAAAACCCAGAAATGGACCCAAGGCAATACGCTCTAATATTTGACAAAGGTGGCAAAAGCATACACTGGAGTAAAGACAGCCTCTTTAATAAATGGTGTTGGGAAAATTGGACAGCTACATGCAAAAAAATGAAACTAGACCATCAACTTACACCATACACAAAAATAAACTCAAAATGGATAAAAGACTTAAATGTGACCCGTGAATACATAAAAATTCTAGAAGAAAATGTAGGCAACAAAATTTCGGACATCATACGGAGCAGAATTTTCACTGATATATCACCTAAGGCAACAGAAATAAAGGAGAAAATGAACACATGGGACTACATCAAACTAAAAAGCTTCTACACAGCAAAAGAAACAATCATCAAAATGGAAAGGCAACCCACTGTATGGGAGAACATCATTGCCAATGATGTATCAGATAAGGGGTTAATTTCCAATATATATGGAGTGCTCATACAACTCCACAAAAGGAAGACAAAGAACCCAATTAAAAAATGGGCAGAGGAGCTGAATAGACACCTCTCCAAACAGGACATACAAATGGCCAAGAGACATATGAAGAAATGCTCAACATCACTAATCATCAGAGAGATGCAAATTAAAACAACAATGAGGTATCACCTCACATCTCAGAATGGCCGCCATCAACAAATCATCAAACAACAAGTGTTGGCGAGGGTGTGGAGAAAAGAGGACTCTAGTACACTGCTGGTGGGAATGCAGACTGGTGCAGCCGCTATGGAAAACAATATGGTGCTACCTCAAAAAATTAAAAATTGAACTCCCATTTGACCCAGTGATCCCACTGCTGGGAATATACCCTAAGAAGCCTGAAACACCAATCAGGAAGAATATATGTACCCCCATGTTCATAGCAGCAGTATTTACAATAGCTAAGATCTGGAAACAGCCCAAGTGTTCACCAGTAGACGAATGGATAAAAAAGCTGTGGTACATATACACAATGGAGTACTATGCAGCGGTAAGAAAGAAAGATCTCTTATCCTTTGAGACGACATGGAGGGACCTGGAAAGTATTATCCTAAGTGAAAGAAGCCAAGCAGAAAAAGACAAATACCACATGATCTCACTTATATACGGAATATAATGAACATAACAGTCTGAGGAATACAGTAGACCCAGACACATGGAAGTAGGGCACAGACTGACATCCCTCAGAAGAGGGGATGGGGGGTGGGGGGGTGGGAAGAGATAAACCACAGAACTTATATGCATGTATGCATGACCAATGGACATGGACAACTAAGCCGGGGACAGGGTGGAGGGTGGCGTGGGGTGGGGGGTGCCAATGGGGTAAAAAGGTAAAATATCTGTAACAAAAAAAATAAATAAAAATTCATAAAATAAATAAATAAATAAAATAAAAAATAAATTAAAAAAGAAATGTCTGGACTCACTGAGCTCTAAGATTCTTTGGTCTCTTCTGCAGTTTCATTGGTTCCATTACTCAGATAAAAAGTCAGTGAAAATATGGTCAACTAATAAGAATTTGGGTAGCAACTGTTTTTTTTCATTTGATTTTTGGTCTTGTTTGTTTATTTGTTTCTATGCTTCTTTTTGCAATTACCATTTGTCTCCAAGGTTCCCTCGTACAGAACCCAAACAAACTGCCCAGGTAAATGACAGCCTGACATTTTCATATTTCTGATTTACTTAAAGTTAGTTACATTTTCCCCATTGGGAAGATCCATACTTTATTGATAAGAACTTCATATTAATTTTAAAAGTGGATTCAGTGATGTCATAATTTCTCATTTTTTTCATTCCTGAAGCAAATAGCCATTTCCTTGTAGAGAAGGGGGATACACTCCACCAGATAATTACTGTTTTTTTATTATTGAGACAGAAAGACCAATGATAACTTCATTTTTTAGCACATTCCTCTAATTTATAATAAGGAGATTAATAAAATGTTAAAGAATAATGAAAGGGGAGTTATTATATTATAAATCATTCTTTTACTTACTGTTTTGAAGTACTTGGTAAGAAAGAATGTTGGGCTTGGAAAGATGAGATCTCTCTGGAACTTTTGTAGCTCATTCCTAATATTTGGTGCCAGTTATGCATCTTGACTTGGCCTGGCGTGGCAGTGAAGTTCACTTATCAAGTTCACTAGGTAAAGACCTATGTCAGGCCCACTGGGAATCAGTAGCTATGTAGAAGAAAGTATGGGCAAAGAAAAGAGAGGGGCTCCTCTTAGCCAGAAGACATGGATGGGAGGAAAGTTCAGAAAACTGTATTGGGAAGAAATGTTTTCTGCGGAAACAGAAAGTTTGTGGTTTCTTTTAGAGTTCGCTTGAGCAGTGACCAATGGAAATCTTAAGAGAAAGGGTTCTGTTCACCATCTGTGTTTGGCTTGTCTATGTCTGTCTGTTCCCAGGTCTGCAGTTAATAAACATTAGCAATCATCTCAAGAGGCAATTGTGCTGTGGATGGAAAGGTAATGAAATGGGTATAGGCTCCAAGGTGCCTCTATTAGAGGCTCATATTTTTAAATTGTAGTTTTCCATAAAATGTAGACTTTGAGTGAAATCTACGACTTCACAAAGTGGAACATGCTGGCAATGGGAGTAGATTTTCATTTTGTTTGGGTACTTTTCAGAATCAATTTTAAAATAAGCACCATTAATCAGCAAATAAGAGTAATAATCTAAATAAGGTCATCTTGAATTCACCCCTGCAGTGTGCAAAACAATTTACAATTGTAATCTGGCTGGCCTTTGTACAAATCTGCGTGCAACCAGTAGGCATTGTCTCCACTTACCTATGGGGACATTAAGGCACAGAGTGAGTACTGGAATTAGACAAAAGTGTCTCTAAACTTGTGATATACTTTCCTTAATGCTATTGCTTTTTCATGATACATGCTTCTTGAAAATAGAAAAAATAAAAGTGAACCTAATTGTCTCCATCTCGCTTCAATCCCTGGGCACTATCCACCCTTGTATTTCTGACAAGCAAGAAAGAGAAACACAACTCTAAGTAGGAGTTTGTTGATGCCTATTGTTTTTGAAACAAATTGAGCTACCTGTGCCCACCCTTATACATCACCTATCAACCCTCTCTGTGGGTCCTTCTTTCCTTTATATTAATGACATTGCTAGCAAAATCACTGGAGCAAAGAACAAAGTATTTCTCAAAAAAAGCAAAAAAAAAAAAAAAAAAAAAAAACAAGAAAAGAAAAGAAATGGACTGCATTTCAGCTGTTAGTATTAAAACTCAATGCTTGTGTTGTGGGAGGAGTTGGGGTTGGTGACACAGAAGGAGAGTGGCAATGTATTTCAGTAGATCTGCTTTGCTGGCTTTCTGGAAAAACAAACAAACCCAAAAACCAAAAGCCTGCTTGACAGTCTCCTGGCCCCCACTGCCACCAGAAACAGGTGAAATGCTCACTTGTCCTATAACTCAGAGACACAGGCTTGTAGCTAAGCCACAATGTTCACATAGAATGCATACTCCAAGTTCACCTTAGTTCAAAGCCAGTCTTCAAAAGTCCACATTAAGGTACCTTGAATCCCTCTCATTTCTCTTTCTTCCACCATACCCTGTCATGTACAAACCCATTTATTCACTCATTCCTCCTCTTCCTAATCCCTGCAGGTGGGTATTGAGCAAACATTCATTATGTGTCTGTTGAATGCTAGGTGCTATGTTTCCAACTGCTAAAAAGTTTCTCAATATAAAATGAAAAGTGAGTGTCAAAACAAGCTCTTAATTCCAGACATTGTTTCTATACCAGAGGCTCTATTCTCCTGGCACACATTACTGCCCGAACTTACCTTGCCTTGATCTCCTATGGTTTAGATTGGCAGGGCTCCTTCCTATTCTTTCACTATGCCAGGACCATGCACTGTGAAATATAAAGTTATTTACCCCACCCCCTACTCCCCACAAACACCATCACGGAGCAGCCTTCTCTGTCAGATGATCACATCCATGCACAAAAAAAGTTTACTAACACCCAAGCCAGAGGTACAAATGCTGGGCATCTTGGTGGATCAGATAATGCTTCTTTTTATTGGGCCCAAACCTACCTTCCCTGCACCATTTACAAAACCCAGGGAGATGCCAGTTATCAATGCAGCTGTCAATAAGAACATTTGGTACTAAAAGAACATGGTCACTTGCTCCCGTGTAACTCCACATCCAGGAAAATTTGTCAAAGACGTAAGCAAGGGATAGCTTTCTTTGTGTGTTTGTCTTTATTGATATTTCTTTTTCTTTCTTTATAACTCACCTTACTTGCTAGGAGAAGAACACACATAAGACTTAGTCATACCTCATGAGTCATCATTTCGGTGGGAAATCAGCCTTGCTTCACAAAGCAATTTAATAAATTTTGTTATGTGGAAATAAGCTTTTAGAGATGATTCAAAACAATTAAGTGCGATTGTCTAAAAATAAGCAAACAACATAAATTACTGTCTGGTTTTCTTGAATGAAAATATTAAAATAAAAGAAGGACGTTTTAAAATATAAAATAATGTAAAGTTTGCATGTAATATTAAAGAGGTAAAAAAACAAAGTGGAGTCTTAGCTGGGGGTATGCCAAAAGTAAACAAAAGCAAACATGGTGCCCATAAAAGACAAGGCTTAGTTTTAACAGCCCCTTTTTCACCTAGAAGACACATCTTCCATTCCAGCCCTTAGACTTCCCCTCTCTGAATCCCAGTTTTCGCATCTGTAAAATAAGAACGAATTCTATCATACTAATTTCCGAAGATGGTCAAATGAAAAAGTGGGTATGAAAGCACTTTGTAAACTGCAAATGCTGGACCCATACATGACATTGTCCCATTTGTTCATGAATCACTCTATTTCTTCAGAGTAGAAAAATAATATTCTGAATTATAACTCTTTTAAGTAAAAACATTGCCTCTACCTTATTTTCTCAACTCTCTATTACTTGGAAATAGGCAAAACTGTGAGAACCTTGAGACGTGCCCCTTATCTCTACACCAAAACTGAGTCTGTCCATCTCCTGGGATGACAATCCAGTTGTCCAAACCAGGAATCCTGAAGTCCTGCTTAATTCAATTATTTCCTCCAATATCCAGTCCATTATCTCATACTTCAAAATATACCCACAATCCAACCAGCTCCATTCTGTGACATGCCCTTGGTCCAAGTCACCATCATTTCATCATGTCTTTCCTGGATGATGCCACTAGCCACTGGCCTCAAAACTGATCTCTCCATATCCACTCTTGCCCCTTTCAATCCCATATTTTCATTTTTAAGTTTATACTTGGGGCAGGTAATATTGCCTATCCATCTGCTGCTCTATCCCTTCTTTCCTCCTAACTGAAACCTTTCCGTGGACTCAGGAAATCTGGCTACTCCTTCCTTCAGCCCCAGAATGACCATGTGATTCAGTTCTGACCAGTGGGATTTAAGGTGGAATCTGCCAGAAAGTTTCAGGGAAAGAAATCCTCCATGTTAGAAAGTGAAAGACACATGAGGCAAGTCCCCACCCACCCTACTACAATATTTGGACATTGTCATGTGCTTGCAGCTATGGTATCCATAGCTGTGGCAGAGATATGGCTACCTTGAATGTAGCTGGAGAACCACCTAGAGCTCCAACATTATCACACTACTGAATTAACCAATCCTGGCACCACTTAACTTTGGATGCTTTTGTTAAATGGCAGGTGTAAGCAAATATTTTTTAAAGAGCCAGACAGTAAATAGTTTACGCTTTGTGATCCTTCTCTGTCTTAAATCAGCTCTACCCTTGCAGGGCAAGTGTAGGGCCATAGCCAATACTTAAATGAATGGGCAGGACTATGTGCCAATAAAACTTTATTGATGGACACTGAAGTTGGAATTTTATATAATTGTTAAATACCCAAAATATTCTTCTTTTGATTTTTTTCAACCATTTAAAAACATGAAAAAACATTCTCATATAAATACAGGCAAAGGGCCATTGTTTGTCAACACTTGATAGGATAGAAAACAAAAGTACTGTTTCACTTCTTTCTTATTTTCTTACTTGCAGTCAAAAATACTCTAATTGGTATAGTGGCCTCTGTTTTCTACTTAAATTTTTATCTTGAAATATTTAAAACACACTAAAAAGTGCAGAAAATAATATAATAGGCACCTATGTCTCCACTGCCCAGATTTACCCAATGATAATATTTTACTATACTTGCTTCAGATAAATTTTTAAATAAATAAAGCCTTATCAAATAGCTGAATGCCAAATTCTGCTCCCTTCCCCTTCCCCTACAGAAGTACCAGATACCCTGGGGCAGTATGTGTTCTTCTACACACCCTGGTACTTCTAGGCACTTGTGTATCCAAAAAAATATATACCTCATTGTTTTTATGTGTTTTAATACTTCACATAAATGGTATTACACTGCATATAGTCTATTTTCAACTTCCTTCCCTCCCTCAATATTATCCATGTCGATACATGTAGAGTTGCTTCGTTTACTTTTGCTAGTGTGTGAATAAATCACAAATTATCCAGCTGCTCACCAACTAGGGAGCAAGTTGTTTGTTTTTCTATGGTTTCTCTTGAGTCCAAGGAGACTTGCATGAGGGTCTTCACTGAAGCACAGGTTGTATTGGCAAAATTATGGAAACTATCAAAGTATCTGAACACTTCATAAGGGAGTTTTCTAATAGTCCAGGTTTCATCAGGTCCCTCTCCTGTCCAGAACTTTTCACTGGCTCCCTGTTGCCAAATCTCCTGAGCCTTAGTCCTGTGCTTCTGTCTCTACTCTCTGCCCTTGAAGCTCTGCAGCTTTGTTCCAGACATATTGAACTCACTTCCACCACTGGGCCTTGGCACAGCTTTTTCTTTGCTCAAGTATAGCACTCACAAGGCCCTCTGTGTCTTGAGCCTGCTACCTCCCCGGGCCCAGCTCCTCTTACACTTTCCCACTCTGATATCATACTTCCTGCTCTGTCCTGTGCCTGATGTGTCCTTCTCCTAGCTCCAGCCTCACCTCCACTGCCTACTGCCAACCCCTTTGCTTTCCCCACACAGCTAGGTATCACCTCACCTATAAAGCCTCGGGTGAAGTTTTTCAGCCCTAGGGGAACTGACGCCTGTGTGCCTCCAGTACAGCACTTACATATTTCTATTGGAGTACTCCTCACAAGGGAGTACCCCTATGTACTTGCCTTTTCTCCTGTCTAGTCTAGGAGCTGCTTGCATTCAGGCATCATATCCTTCATGCCTCTCTGGCTCCCCCCAACCCCAGACGTGGCACATGGAAGGTACTCACTAAATATGTGATGAATTAATGCCTGGATGAATAAATAAAGTCTGACCACTACTGTATTAGCTTCCAGAAAATGAACTCAAGAATTATGCAGAGTAGGATGTGACTGACAGAATCTAATCTAACTGACTCTTGCATGTGGATCTTTGAAACTTGCAAACACTGCTATTTATAGCCTGAGAAGCTTCACCTTAGCTTGATGATTCAACCAGTTATTGAATTGCCTGGAGTTTTCTTAAAATTTATTTAAATCTATTCTAAAACATGAACAGTTGACTCAATTATCTACTTTTAGTTCAGGCAGGCTTCTTGTGAAGTCATGCAAACTTTTAAAGAGAGAAAATGCCCTGGTCAGTTTTGCTCAGCTGTTAGAGCGTTGGCCTGAGGTCCAGAGAGACCTGGGTTCGGTTCCCGCTAAGGGCACGTACCTCGGTTGCAGTTTGTCCCCAGCCCTGGTTGGGTTGTGCGGGTGGTAGCCAATTGGTGTGTCCCTTTCACATCGATGTTTCTCTCTCTCTTCCTCTCTTTCCCTTCCACTTTATCTGAACAACAACAACAACAAAAAGAAAAAATGTCCTCGGGTGAGGATAAAAAAAAAAAGAAAAAAAAAATAAGGAGAGAAAAAATTGCAACTATTAGGCAATGAATGTTTAAAAAGAATGACCAGACATTGACTTGTAACCTAACTCAGGGATAAAAGGTGATAATCGGTCCCTTATTCATCAGAATGATTACACATTAATGATTTTATTTCCTTTACTTTGAGGAAAACACTTTCTTAGTACTTTATGCCAAAGCATATATGGTGCTTCATGGAGTTATGACACTAACTTTCTTGTGTCTCCTGTGGAAATCAGTTTTGTTGACTTACAAACACAACGTGAATCTAAAAGCACCTTGTTTACTGGAGACAAAGAAGGACCATAGCCCTGGCCAATTTGGCTCAGCGGTTAGAGCGTCGGCCTGCGGTCCGGAGAGACCTGGGTTCGGTTCCCGCTAAGGGCACGTACCTTGGTTGCAGTTTGTCCCCGGCCCTGGTTGGTCGTGCGGGTGGCAGCCACTCGATGTGTCCCGTCACGTCGATGTTTCTCTCTCTCTATCCCTCCCACTCTATCTGTACAAAAAATGGAAAAATATCCTCGGATGAGGATAAAAAAAGAAAAAAAAAAAAAAAAAGGAGAAGGACCATAGAAGTGAATTTTTAAAATACCTTAATTTACCCCTTGGAAATCCCAGAACTTAAACACTGGGACCATTTCAAAAACCAATGTTTTAAATATACTGTATATGTCTTCCTTTATTTTATGTTTCAATTAGAGTTCACATTTAATATTGTTTTGTATTAATTTCTGGTGTACAGCATAATGGTTAGATAATCATATACTTTACAAAGTATTCCCCTGATATTTCCAGTACCCACCTGGCACCATACATAGTTATTACAATATTATTGACTATATTCCTTATGCTGTGCTTTACATTTCTGTGACTATTTTGTAACTATCAATTTGTACTTCTTTAAAAAAATTTTCTTTATTGATTTTTAGAGAGAGAGGGAGAGAGAGATAGAATCATCAATGAGAGAGAGCATCGATTGGCCACCTCCTGCATACCCCTCACTGGGGATTTGGCCCACAATCTAGGCATGTGCCCTGACCGGGAATCAAACCAGTGACCTCCTGGTACATGAGTCGATGCTCAACCACTGAGCCATACCAGCTGGGCCCAATTTGTACTTTTTAAATCTTCCATCTTTTTACCCAGTCTCCAGCCCTCTTCCCTCTGGCAACCATTAGTCTGTTCTCTGTATCTATGAGTCTGTTTCAAGTTTGTCTGTTTGTTTGTTTTAAATATACTATATATTTCTTAAGCAGATGACACAGAATATCATTTAATACTTTCTTGAACATTCAACATTATCCCCAGGAACTCTGTAATACCTGTGGATACCAAGGGGGTCAGCCTCGGAGGTGGAGATAGACGTGTCACTCAGCTTTTCCATGATTTGTTATGTGAGCTTCATTGAGCTACTTCCCCTTTCTGGGCCTCAGGTGTGCAATGAAGATTGACACTAGATGATCATGAGATGTCTGCTGCCCAGCAGTGTGAGGTATATATCAAGTTTTCAAATACACGCAATCTTATGTTAGTATTTTATAAAAGTAATGTGAGCAGTTACATGCAGTACCTTCTAGAATTTGGTAGGCTAGACAAGTGTGGATTAAACACAAATGAAAATTATTATTCTTATTAAATATTGTCATGACTTATATTTTAATCAGACCAGGATATGTTGAAATAATAAGCAAACTGTTTCTAATTATTGGGTCATATTTTTAATACCTGAACTCCTAGATTTTTCTTCCTCCTGATATGCCCATTTGGTAACTGTAAAACAATAATTTCAGATACTCCTATCACTCTGAGTATCCACTTCTACAAGTGTACACACATAATATCCATCCATTGGGAGATTTGTCCATAAATTATGTATGAAAACAATTCCAGAGTGCAAAGCAAGCCCCCTAAAAGCCCCTTCCAATGACGGCAATGACGAATAACAACTGATTCAGTGGAAAATTTCTTTGTGCATTCAAAGCCTGAAGTACTGCCAGAGGTGAAAGAATAAAAAAAATAATATGGTCAGGCTAGAATGAATCCACAGGACTTATTATAGAAGAGGCCCTTTAGCTGGGCAAAGGAAGGGCTTGTTCACCAGGTGAAGTTAATAAAAGACCCTTTGACCAAGATGTCCATAACAAAACTCAGCTAATTTTCTCAGGAAGAATATGTTCCAGTGGTGAGTCACTGCCCTTTTGCTGCAATTATTTTAATGATATGAGATAGAAGAAAAGGTCACAATTTAGATCAATGCCATCTTTGAATGACAGAGTGGGTGAATCATCAAATGAAATTAATGCTGAAGCGTGGTTATGATGTTTGCTGTATTTACTCTCCCCCAGATACACTCAACGTGTATCACATTCAATGAGATATTTCAGGAGAGCTAGTTGCTAGGCTTCAGCCTCACTCAAAGTTCTTTATTTTAGATCAGAAAAGAAATATAAAAAAATTTCAAGATGACAATATTAAATTTACCATGAGGCAATCAAAGGGCTCAGATTTCTATATGTTGACAGGGGCCACTCTAGTGACTGACATAAAATACAAAAATAAAAGAAAGCCAGAGCTGCAAGAACTTTAGAAATCATTTTAGCCATTACCGTTACTTTATAGAAGACACTGAGATTCAGAAAGGTAGTAACTTTTTTTTTTTTTTATCCTCACCCGAGGACATTTTTCCATTTTTTGTTCAGATAGAGTGGGAGGGAGAGAGAGGAAGAGAGAGAGAGAGAGAGAGAAACATCGATGTGAAGGGACACATCGTGTGGCTGCCACCTGCACGACCAGCCAGGGCCGGGGACAAACTGCAACCGAGGTACGTGCCCCTAGCGGGAACCGAACCGGGGTCTCTCCGGACCGCAGGCCGACGCTTTAACTGCTGAGCCAAACCGGCCAGGGCAAGAAAGGTAGTAACTTTTCTAAGATGACACATTTGGTGGCAAGAAATGACAGAATCCAGATCTTCCGTCTCCTTAAGCAATGTTCTTCCCCCAAATTGGGCATTTTTGATTAACATATTTAATTTGTAGACTTTAGATTTTAAAACATGTTTCTTATTACTGGTAATGGGAAGCAGCATTTTTATAATATTTGAAAAGTTTCTGAGGTTTTCAAATTTTATTAAAATATTTATTATAAAGATGTGTTTTAACACCTCACCAAAAGAAGATACAAAAATGACAAACACATATGCCATTAGGGAACTGCAAAAGAAAACAATGAGATACTACACAATTATTAGAGTGGCCAGAATCCAGAACATTGACAACACCAAATGCTGAAGATATGGAGAAGCAGGAACTTGCATTCTTTGCTGGTGGGAATGCAAAATGGTACATCAGGTTTGAAAAACAGTTTGGCAGTTTCTTACAAAAGTAAACATACTCTTATCATAAGATGCATCAATCATACTCCTTCCTTGGTATTTATCCAAAGGAGTTGAAAACTTATGTCCATAGCCCAGCGGGTGTGGCTCAGTGGATTGAGCATCATCTCATGGACTGAGAGGTTCAGATTTGATTTCCAGTCGGGGCACTGCCCAGTTGCAGGCTCGATCCCCAGTAGGGGGCGTACAGAAGGGAGCTGATCGATGTTTCTCTCTCACATGGATGTTTCTCTCTCTCTCTCTCTCTCTCTCTCTCTCTCTCTCTCCCTCTCTCTCTTCAAAAAATCAATAAAAAATATTTTTAAGAAAAGTTCCCCAGGTGATTTAATGTGCAGCTGATTTGAGGACTATTTCAGCTCAAAGTTGAAAAAAAGAGAAAACTTAAGTCCACACCAAAGCCTATACACGGATATTTATAGCACCTTTATCCATAATTTTCAAAACTTGGAAGCAACCAAGATGCTCTCTTTTTTTTTTTCCTTTTTAAACTTACTTTATTATTGAATGTATTACAGGTGTACCCCCATTCTTCCCCCATACACCCCCTCCTCCCTGCTACCTGCTCCCACCTCCCTCCAGCCTTCCCCACACTATTGTCTGTGTTCCTTAGTTATGCATATATGCATATAAGTTATTTGGTTTGGAGCAGACATACATCCCCAGGCAAAAGAAGCACAGACCAGCAGTTGAGACCCATCCCCAAAAACTACAGCAAAAGCTGTGCAGGAATTGAGCCCCACTGGGTAGTAGCACTCCCCAGCTGCCAGAAGCTGGACCTGGGGCTCCACAGAGGCCTGTGTAGTCCAGTAGCCCAAAAGAGCAGTGGGAAGCGAAAGCCCTAGAGATACTGGTATGATCCAGCTGCCGTCCCACAGGAAGTGAAGGATGCAGGGACCACCAGAGAGGCCTGTGCTACCCAGCAGGGACTGTGCTATATCCAGTTACCCGTGGAACCTGTGGGGTGCTGAAGCACCAGAGAGGCCTGTGAGACCCAGCAGAGATGTGAGTTCTAGTTACCTGCGGGACCTGCAGGTTGCTAAAGCCTGTACCACCTAGGAGGGACTGTGCCATCAAATTACCCCCGGGACCGTTGGGGTACTGAAGCACCAGAGAGGACTGTGCAACCCAGCAGGGACTGTGCCATCCAATTACCCGCGGGTCTGCAGGGTGCTAAAGCACTAGAGAGGCCTGTGCTACCCAGGACCTTTAACATGGCCCTAGAGCCCGGTCCCCAAAGGCACTGTGCTATCCAATTACCTGTGGGACCTGCAGGATGCAAAGGCACCAGAGAGGCCTGTGCCACACAGCTGCACACAAGATAGGCTTAGATGATGTGAAAATGGAGGCGGAGTGGATAGAAGCTACATAGATGATCTCCCAGGAACAGACGAGAATTACAGCTGAAATAAATAAAAATCCTCGGAAAAAAAGCAACAGAAAAGCAGCAGGACAGGACCATATACCCAGGGAAACTGGTAGGATCTGCAGAGGCATGAGAGGGTGGTGGGCTGGGGGCCCATGACCAACATCAGTCTTAGCTGTGAGCAGCGCCCTTGGGGAACAAAGACCAAGCCTGCTCCACAGTGCAGAGAGCCATGACAGAGCACTGAAATACCCACAGCCACTCACCTGGAGGCTACAGCAGAGGAAGGGCAGACGGCTGAAACTCTGTGGGGACACCCAGGATTTGGAGAGTACTCAGAGTTTTTGCTGAGTTGCACTCAAAAAGGCCAGTGGCCAGTGTGCTCCTTCCACAAGATGTAGGGGAAAGCAGCAGTGCGCCCCCCCCAACCCCATTGGAGATTCAGCCTTTCCCAGGCGAGGCTCATTAAAAACCAGAATCTATCCCATCTTCTGGAAATCCACTTATACAGAACACCAGGTCTACATTCCAAGGAATTGAGTAACTGAGACTACTAGCCACCAGGAAAAAGCTAGAGGATAACTGAACCTGTCCTGGACTTGCAAATCTACCCAGGAAAGTAAGACTTGCCAGGGGTATTGAACGTGGGCCCACCCAGGCACATGCAAACCCAGTAGAAGGAGCCAGATACAGCAGAACACAAACACTCACAGGGAAAATTTGGCAGGCTCCAAAACCCACTGAGATAGCCAAAATGGTGAAACAAAGAAACAAATCCCAAATGAAAGAACAAGAGAACTCTATCAAAGATGAAATAAATGAATGCAGCTAAGCAAATTATCAAGAGGTAGAGTGCAGAGCCATGATCTTGAGGAAGCACAATAGCATGAGTAAGGACATCAGCACCATGAGTAAAGATATAAAAACATTGAAAACCAACCAAGTGGAAATGAAGAAAGACATAGAAATGAAGAACACATTGAAAGGACTAACTAGCAGAGTAAAGGAAGCTGAGGACCGGATCAGTAAATTGGAGGACAGGGTAGACAAAAATCAACAAATAAAAAAACCGAAAGGAAAAAAACAATTAAAAAACAGGAAGATAGCTTAAGAGAAATGTGGGACAACTGGAAACGTAATAACATTCGCATCATAGGAGTCCCCGAAGAGGAAGAAAACTGGCAAGGGTTAGAGAATATACTTGAAGAAACAGTGACAGAAAACTTTCCTAACTTGGTGAAAGAAGAAGGCATTCAAGATCAAGAAGCACAGAGAGGCCCAAGTAAGAAGAACCCAAACAGGCCTATACCAAGACACATAGTAATTAAAGACAAAGAGAGAATCCTAGAGTCAGCAAGAGATAAGCAACAGGTTACCTGCAAAGGAAACCCCATAAGGCTCTCAGCTGACTGCACAACAGAAACACTACAAGCCAGAAGGGAGTGGCATGAAGTAATAAAGTTCATGAAAAACAAGGATCTCAATCCAAGACTATTGTATCCAGCAAGGCTATCATTCAAAATAGAAGGTCAAATAAAGAGCTTTCCAGACAAAAAAAAAAAAAAAAAAAAAGGCTAAAGGAATATATTATCACCAAACCAGCACTGCAAGATATGCTAAAAGGACTGCTATAATTAGTAGAAGAAATGGGAAGAAAAAAGAACCACACTAAAAAAAAGAAAAACGGCAAGAAATAAGTACATATCAATTATCACCTTAAATGTGAATAGTTTGAATGCTACGATAATAAGACACACAGTAGGTGACTAGATAAGAAAGTATAAGTCACATATATGTTGTTTACAAGAGACCCAACTCAACAACAGACTCACATAGGTTGAAAGTGAAGGGATGGACAAAAATCTTTCAAGCAAACGGAAAGCAACAAAAGCTGGAGTAGCAATACTCATATCTGATAAAGTAGATTTCATAATGAAGGCCATAACTTGGGACAAAAAAGGTCACTACATAATATTGAAAGGATCTATCCAACAGGAAG